TTTGTGCTCTGGACCCCGTGCTCCCCGCCCTTCCCTCCAGACCTCGCCGGCCTCGCCTGCCCGGCGCAGCTCCTGCCTTGTTTGCTCAGGTGTCCTGCAAACCCAGCGCTCCGCGAGCAGGCAGGCAGCAGCCTCACCCCAGAAGGCGCCCGGCCCCTCACACAGCGCTTTTCATAAGTTCGAGGGTCACCGAGGCGGCTGTGGACAGACCAGACCGGTGCTGGGCACGTCCAGCCTCGAACTCGGACAAAGTCGTTTCTTTTTCTTGGATCTGGGAGCCTGGGCCAAGGAGGCCGAGTGAAGCTGTCAAGAAGACTTTAAGAGCAAGGCGGCAGGATGTGGGTTTGATGCTGCCAGGCAGGGAGCACAGGGGAGTGTGGGTGTAGGCAGCATCTGGGGCCACCCCCAGAGGACCTGCAGGCTGGGAGCTGGGGCAGGCAGGCAAGGGGCGCAGGTGAACAGCGCAGGCTCCAGAACCAGGCAGACCCATCCACCGACCCTCCCTCCCTCCATGGTCGTGTCGGGTCATCCGTCCACCCACCTGCTAAGCTGGTGTCCTTGTCCCCCACAGTGGCCTCCCCCACATGGGTGAGGCAAGGGTGTCCTTCCCGAAATGGTGCGGGACGGCATGGCACTGGATGGGCAGGGTGCACAGTAGGGCTGCAGTCACACTGCTTGCGGGGGAAGACATCACATGCCGCTCGGCCACTGAAGGCTGCGCCTGGGCCCCGAGAGGCCACCCACGGTAACGAAAGAGAGGGTAGGTAGCCCTCGGGTCCAGGGAGGATGCCACTGCTTGTTTGGCTGATGAGCCATTAGGTTGAGGCCTGGGTGACTGAGTGTTTGGTGAGTTCAGGGAACCTCGGATAAAATCTTTGAGGACCCAGAGGCTCAAAGCATCAAGCCAGCACTCCCAACGTTGTGTCTTCAACAGTCAGCAAACTTGTTCTGGAAATGCTCAGGTATCATTTTAGACTTTGAGAGCCAAGAGGCAAAAATCCAGACTAGAACATAGATTCTTATACAAGAGGAGATAGGACAAGTTTCCACGTTTCTATTGCCAAAATTCAAAATAAAATCATGACATAAAAATCTACAAGTGAGAAAGTGGAAGCCGTCGCGGAAGCAGGAGGATCATTTCTGCTGAACTGGAGCTGGGTGCTAATGTTCCTCATCTCAAATCAATGGCAAATGTGTATGCGTGATCTGCTGCTAGTGGGGCCATGGGAGACGGGCTGGGGACAGCTCTGCGGGGCTGGCCGGGCCCTGGGCTCGGTCCTCACCTCACGCCGGGGCTACTCCGGGCTGGTGATGGGACAGCGCTGTGTCCCTGGGAGGCTGATAGTCCAGGCCCCGGACACTCACAAGAGAAGAGCAAGGGCCGATCGATATGATCAGGACTGGAACAAAGGTGACCAGAAAAGACTTCCACCTGTGTGTGGGCTTGGGCAGGTGCGTGGAGCCAGGCGGGCAGGGACCCAGGGCCCAGAGTTGTCACCCACAGTGTGTCAAGGGCGGCCCTGAGCAGTCCCGGTGCTGGGGACGGATTGTCATTGCCGCTCAGGGCTCTGCAGCCTGGGACTCTGTGGGCTCTGTATTCAGCTTCCGTGGGCACAGCCAGCCACCGGGCCTGCTCTCTCCTTCCAGCCTCTTCCCTCCCGCTCCTGTTTAAAACATTCCCATTGCATTCTGTCACCTCCTCACGTTTAGGTCTCCTCCTTACTAGGTGACGGTGTATTGCTCTGGGATGCTGGTTCCGGAACAGGGATCTGCATGGATTTTGACCCCGATGCAGTCCCTGCCTGGCCACCCCTGAGCCACTGTCCCCTGCCCAGGAGCCGCCTGTGGCCACGCCCCCCCGGTCCCTTCCAGGTCCTCCTCCCGTTTATTGTCTCCCAAGGACACTGACCGCCTCCTGCTCACTGTCCTTTCTATTTGTCTCCCGGTTTGCTCTTTGCACTTTGAGCTGGCACGTGGGTGCCAAGATGCCAAGTGCCAATCTCAGGCCCCTGAAACAGTGCCCTCCACACAGCACACGCACAGAAGTGTATTTGGGAAGCCCCTAGCGAAGGCTCCGCACTCCCGACCTGCTTTTCGATAAACACCGAGGCTCCATTCCCAGCCCCACCTCGCATGGGCCCTGTGTGCACAGCCCTGGGTCAATATTTGCAGAATGAATGGTATTTCCAGCTCCCCACCCTGAAAAACACGGCTGCGGGTGAGGGTCTCAGATTCCCTCTTCAGCATGCAGGGTCTTGAATCAGGTGAGCCCGAGGCAGGAATGTGAGCTGCCCCGGGCCCCTTCTGCCTGGCATCCACAGTGACGCTTTCATGGCTTCCCAAGGTGGCTGTGCCAGCCCTGCAGGGCAGCCAGGCCTCCCCAGGCAGGAGCCACACTGGGCCCTTGTTGCCCACGTCCCCTGGATGACCCTGCTCTGGGCCTGTGCCACTGCTGCAGGTCTGGAGCTCCTGCCTTCTGTCCCTGGGGGCTCTGGGAGTCGTGGGGTGTGGACACGGGGGTCAGGATGGCAAAGGGCTGCCCAGCGTGGGCACAGGGCTGCAGCCCCCCACTTCCGGTCTGGGCCTGTAGCTCCTCAGTGACAGGGCCTGTGCCCTGTAGCCTGCTGGCCGTGTGGTAAATGCCCAGATAGCACTCAGGAGACCATGGGGTCATACGAGGCTGGCGTCCCTCTGCCCTTGACATCCAGGGCCAGGACGCTCAGGGTGAAGTGATGGCTGCTTCCTCGTACCAGCATGACAGACACGGCTCGCTGGCCGGGGGTCCCACGGCTGCTGGGCCAGGGAGATTCCAGCAGGGTTTGACACCATCCATGCTGAGCTCCACTTCTCACCCTGGTGCTTGGAACCGAGGCAGTGCCAGTTTCTACGAGTATTTGAGGAGTGGTTTCCATTTTCCTCTTTCTCGTGGACTTAAACTTCTTAAGCAATAAGGAGACCCGAAGGGCCCTCCTGGGAGTGGCTCTGAATGACACCCTTGGGATCTTTGGCAGAGTCATTGCCATCCAGGCTGCGATGTCTCAGTCCTTTCTTGACACTGCATCTGCTGTTTCAGACCTGGCGTTGCCTGAAGTCGGGCTAACATGACGGTAGCCCCGGCTACATTAATTATTGAAGGCAAAATTGATTTTAGAAAACAGTTTGGCTCCGAGTTGCACCTCTCAGGGACTCGATAGCCACAGGTTGTGGCAGCGTGTGGAAGCCGTTCCCAGGTCTTCCTATGCCTTGGCGTTGCTGGCACGTTGAGAATCTTCCTTTCCAGTTTGACACAGCTTTCCGGGGACTGGGGGACGTCATGGGGGTGCCCACGGAGGAGGGCAGGGGACTGGCTTCCAGCTGGCTTCTGAAAGGAGGGAAGTCCAAGAAGGTGGCCCATTTGGGCTCCACGGAGTTCCCCGGTCTGGTGCTGGCAAACAGGATGAGGCGTCCATCCCGTGGGGACCGGTGGGTGACACTGTCAGGGCCCCTGTCCTGACGCAGGGATGATGAATGAGCAGACACCCAGGGGTGGGTGCAACGTGACCCCAGCACTAGACAGCTTCACCGAATATGGCCAGTTCGCTCTTCCCCATGACCCCCAGGTCCCACCTGGGTCCCTGTCCCATCTCTGTCCTAATGATGGACAAAGACAGGACCATTCTGCTTGGACACTCAGCCATGGAGACAATTGTTTCCTCAAAATGATTTCTGAGCCAGGCACAGTGGAGCACACCTATTATCCCAGCACTCCGGAGGCTGAGGCAGGAGGATCACAAGTTTAAGTCCCACCTGGGCAACTTGGTATAACCCTGTCTAAAGCACAAAAATCAAACAGTCCAGAGATGTAGCTCAGTGAAAAAGTCCTCAGTTCAATCTATAATATCATACACACACATGACCGATTTTTTTTAACATAAATGTAAAACTTGTTTTATTGAAAAGATAAAATCTTTACTCATTCATTCATTGGAAAGAAATCTGGGGAAATCAAGCCTCTTCAAAAATCCACCTCTTAGGGCTGGGTATTTAGCTCAGTGGTGCCGTGCCTGCCTCACAAGCGCAAGGTACTGGGTTTGATTCCCAGTACTCCTCCCACAAAAAAAATCCACCTCCTAGTAAAAGGTCTGTAATTTTAAAAAATAATCTATGCTTCACATAACAGTTAAACTCTGAATATTTCTGGAAAATAATTATGGCTAACCTTTTCTCTGTGCCCCTCTATGTTTTTCAATGTAATTATTTTTATATATACTTTCTCTTTTTTGGTACTGGGGCGAACTCGGGACCTTGTGCTTGCAAGGCAGGTGGCGGCACCACTGAGCTAAATCCTGGGCTCTCTATGTACACTTTTATAATCAGAGAAAAAGCAGTATTTTCCATCTTTAAAAGGCAGAAATAATCTGTAAAATAACAATACTCACCTCTCTGAACAATATAGGAAAGTTTTTAACTCCAACTTGTGTTTTCCTTCAAACCAAAGACCTTGGAGTGTATCACGCGTGGTCTAGCTACAGTGTTGCTATTAATGTCATTTTTATAAATTCCTTCTCAAGGTAGCCTGTAGATTACATATGCAAATCAATCTTACCATGCTCTACCTGCTTTCATAATGACACCATTACCAAGATAAATCACTGTGCATGTTCAGCCCGCTGAGCTCTGAATTACTTTAGGCTGTTTTCCAAAAGCCAGGCCCACCTCCAGAAAGACGGAAGCGTCTCAGAGCCACAGACTTCTCACAAGGCCGTAGGAAGGATTTCAGACGTTGTGCCAAAAAGTGGTGGGCGCCAAACATTTGTTTCTCTTCTCCCATGCCCCTGCACTTCTCTGTCTGCAGAAAACATACCCTTGGGAGAGAGCTTCAGATAGCCACAGCCCCACCTTCCAGAGTGCTGTGCTCTTTGTTGTTATGTCTTCACCGCAAAATGGAGATCTCTTGCCCCAGGGGAAAAGTTCGGGAACCTTCTCCATCTCCCTCAGCACCTGCCCCCTCTGCAGGTAAAATCGAGAAGGAGACGTTAGCGTGTGGCTGAGCCTGGAGACCCCAGCCAGAAGCTGCAGGAGGCACGAGTGGAGACTTCACACGCACTCGCACTGGGATTCCAGGGTAGGCTCCAAAGGGTCCCCATTGCCACCTGGCCCCTGGCACTGGGAGAAGCCAATCTGCTCATCTTCAAACACTGGACTTGGAGTCTAACAAATCCCTTATCTGTTTCTACCCAAAGGCAGTATTTACCTGTCCGGGTGGCAACAAAGTTGGATTTGTCCCTTTAGTACTCATGTCTGACTTAAGCACCCAGGTTTCTAAAATAATTTTTAAAACTCACTGAGAAAGGATAAATACCAAGGAAGGAAGTCCTGTCTTCTTTTCCTCCAGATTTTTTTGCCTTATTTGGACTTATTTTATTTTACATATATTTTGTATCACAGAATAACTGCTATGGTGCGGGTGTGAAACGGCTCTGGGGCCTTTCAAACCCAAACCATAAAAGTCAAGCGTTAAAGGCCTGGCGGATGAGGGGCTTTGGGGAGCTGACTGGATCACGAGGGTCCTAACTCCATCGAATGGACGAACCCACGAACAGAGGGCATCACCGGGGCTGAAGCAGTGGGGAACGAGGCCTCTGACCTTGGGGACTACATCTGGTCCCTGGGTCCTTTCCCTTTGTCCTTTCGCCCAATCTCCTTCCTGGCCACCGTGAGGTGAGTGGCTTTCCTCCACCAAACCCTCTTCCAGGCTGTTGTGCCTCATCTCAGGCCTGGAAGGGATGGAGCCAGCCGACCATGGACTGCACCCTGTGAAATTGAGAGCCAAGAGATTTGTTTCAGGGGTATTTTGTCACAGCAACAAAAAGCAGATGAACACAGCAATATATGAAAAAGAACCTAGACAGCACCCTACCCCTTCCACCGCTCAAGGCTATAATGAGAAGCCATCATGTAGAAAGCGGCCCTCACCGGCATCAAATCAGCCACACCTTGGTCTTAGACTCCTGGCCCCCAGCACTGTGAGGAATGAATTCTTGTGTTTATAAATCCTCCAGGTTATTTTCTTATAGTCATCTGAGCAGACTAAGACACAAATCTAATTCCTTCTTGGATGGTATAGGTTTGGCAAGACTCATTTATTTTTTTCTATATTTATGCATGGACTTGCAGATAGGAATGTGCTATGCTTTTATGTTTCCCTGAATCACTACTAGTTTTTATTCATTTTGTGCTCTATTTTATTTATAATTTATTGCTTTGTCTTCATTGTATTACTATTTTTAAAATAGTAAACAGTTTTTTCGTGGGGAGAAGTTTGCTTTTCACATGACATTATTAAACGTGAGTCTTTTTCCTTTCATAGAAAACTGGATGAAAATTATTTGATACTGCTTTTAGTCTTTCATGCAGTTGACCATCTGTATCTACAGCCCCTGCAAGCCTGGATTCAGCCATCCACAAACTGAAAACACTTGGAAAAAATCACCTTTATAGACAACACGTGTGGGGTTTTTTCCTCTCCTCAAGCCCTAAACTGAACAGCATAGCAGCTCTTTATATAGCACTTATGTTGTGTTAGGGATTTTAAGTAATCTAGGAATGATTTTAAGGTGTGTGTAGATTATATTAAAAAATGATCGCTGGATGTGGTGGCGCAGGCCTGTGATCCCAGCACACTGGGCGGCTGAAGCAGGAGGGTTCCAAGGGTGAGCCCAGCTTGCGCAATTTAGTGCCATAGCAAGACCCCATCCACACATTTTAACACAGGTTGGAGATGTCGCTCAGGGTGAAGCCACAATCCCCAGTACTGGAAAAAAGACAAGCAGCCTGGGAGTATGGAGTTGACCGTGCCAGCTCCTTGCTCTGCAAACACTCATCACAGAACTGGTGAGGAGGTAGCCCTGCAGCCCCAGACCCCAGGTGCTAATTACTCTGACACCTAAAGGCACACAGCTGTCCCAGCTAAGCTGGGGAGGGAAAGTCCAGCCTTTGGGGGAGGTGGCAGAGATGTCGCAGGTGAGTGCTGCCCCCACACAAGCAGCTTTTTAATTGAGCTCAGTTTCAGCTCTGCTCTCTTTTAGAAGCTCACGTCACTTGTCACCTGGTGAGGACAGACAGACGCCACCCAGGGGGCGATGTCAGGAATGAAGTGTGCTTGTCCTGGCCCCCATACTGGCCATGTCGCCGTGAGGGAGAATAATTAGCTATTCTGAGAGATGTGTGTGTTTTCATTTCCAGCCCCAAAGCTAATTGTCAGGAATGAAATTTGTGTTTGTTTTTCTTCAGGTCTGTTTGCGTTCCAAGTCTTCCATCTCCTGGAGCTGGGTCAGCCCGACTTCTTCTCCTCACTGTGCACCTTGGATGAATGGAGCCTTTATTCACATCCCTGCTTCTCTCCAAAAGAGCATCTGAGACGGCGCACAACAGAGTGTCTCTGGGTAATAAAATGGAAAGGCTCAGGTCCCAGAACCAGTACATCGGGCTGGGGAAAGAAGGAGGAAGCACGTCTGCTGCCAGGCTGAACACTTTCCCTGAAGCTCCGATTCAGGCCTGAGCTTCCTGGTAGCCGAGTCAGAAAGGAAATAAGGGAAAGTTTCATCTCTCACTCTGTAGCGATTCATCAGTTTATGTCGAGTTCCAAGCTAAGTGTTTTTACGCTGGGCTTTCATAAGGGGCACCGTGTCACAGTGCTCTCCACCGCAAATGCAGATGTGGAATTTCCACCATAGTGTTTTTGTTTTGTTTTCTTTATTGTTGCAGCAGTGGGAATTAAAGCCAGGGAGCGCTGAGCTACATCCCAACCCTTTTTATTTATTTATTTTTATTTAGAGACGGGCTCTTGATAAATTGCCCAGGCTGGCCTTGAACTTTCGATCCTCCTGCCTCAGCCCACTGAGTAGCTGGGATTATTAGGCCTATGCCACCTCACCTGGCCTGTGATGACTGTGATGACTTCTTTCTTTTCTCCTGTGTGTGTGTGTGTGTGTGTGTGTGTGAGTGAGAGAGGGTCTTGCTATGTGGTTTGGGCTGGCCTTGAACTCCTGGCATCCTCCTTCCTCATCCTTCTGAATGCTAGGATCACAGGCTTGTGCCAACCACACCCAGCTGTCTCAGCTATTTCGTTTGCAAAGAAAAGTGCTTTCACCCGCTTGCTCCACTAACAGGCATGTTGAAGGCTATACGGTGTTTAATGACCTCCCATACTTTCCAATGGAATTAGAGTGAGTTCCACAAAGCCCTCCAGCATAGCCCAGGCTGGCCTCAAACTCAGCAATCCTCCTGACTCAGCCTCCCCAGTCCTGGGATCACAGCCGCGCACCACCACGCCCAGTTTATGTGGAGCATCTTAGGAACTCAGTGTGTAGCTGCTTTGGCTGTGTCCCGTGTGGAATTGGCCACCTCTGTGTGCTCAGCGCTGTCCTGGGGCTCCACGCATTTCATGGCCATGGGTGCCTTTGCTCAGAGCACGGCCTGTGTGACTGGCTCAGGGCCTCTGTCACTCAGCCCCGTTCAGGCCTCCGCCTCCCTCCCGGCACTGCCCAGCCATGCCTCGGCTGGGCTGTTCTGCTGGGGCTGCCCTGGGGCCGATGCGTGTTCCCTTTCCCGAAATGTGGAGGGCAGCACCTCTACAGTTCAGGGTAAGGCCAGCCTGCCCGGCAGACCCTGCCCCCGAGACACTACGGAGGAGCGTTCTGGATTCAGGGTGCTTAGAGTTCTGGGGAACCTGCACATGCATAAGGAGACCCAACTCTGCACCCCAAGCCCATTCCTGCCTCAGACGCCACTGTGCTGCGGGTTGTTTCCTGCAGTATTTTGGGCCTGCGTTTGGCTCCTCCCACCAACCTCCAGCGGCAGGGTCACAGCCCTGAGCCCCTCCAAGTCTGGAGCATTTTGGAGGCCGGGCTTCCGGATCAGGGGCTCGGCCTGCAGTCCCCACTGCCCTCCCTTCCCAGAGGGACAACTAGGGCCACAGCCCCCAAACCCCTGACATCCTAGGGCCTGTGAGCCCCTGCGCCCCGTTCGCTCCCCAGCTGTGTTTGTTCCGGGCCCTGGCTCATCTTCTCCCCAGGACACCGAGGACCCAAGCTGCCTGAGGAAGCCCGGTCCCTCCCGCCAGGGAGCAGCGGGTCCCGGGCCGGGTTTGCCGGGCCTGGACCAGCTAC